GCTACTCCACCCCCCCACCCCTACCCGACTAGGCACCAGGGTCGTGTTCGCCGTGCCCGTGACGAGCAGCTTGCGTTGGAGAGAGAGAGGAGAGGGAGTTACAGCGGCTGGAGGAGCAGCAGCAGCAGCTGGAGCCGCAGGAGCAGCAGCAGCAGCAGCTTGGACCCGCAGGAGCAGCAGTCCCAGAAGCAGCCGCTTCCGCAGCAGCAGCAGTCGCAGCAGCAGCAGCAGCAGCCGCTTCCCTCCTCCTGTCTCGGGTCTTCGGACCCTTGGTCTCCCCTCCCCTTCTCCTCCCTCCTCCGCCTCTCCTCCTGTCTACGGTCCCATGTTTCCTCCTCCTGACTCCTCCCCCGCTGTTTTCCCCAGTTCTCCGCCTTTGTCCTCTCCTCCTCCGTCTCGTTCTTGGGCTACTCGTCGCTCCCCTCGTGCTCGTCCCTCGTCTCCTGTTCCCTTCACTGACCTTCGTACTGCTTTCCTTCTTACTAGTCCACCTCGTCCGTCTCAGTCTGTGCTTCCGTCTCCTCCTGAGTCGGCCCTCACTGTGTCGCTCCCTACTCCTGTCACTGACTACTACCGCCACGTACCGTCCTGTTCTCTCTCGTGTTCTCGCCTCTCTTGTTACTCACCCTCGTGTCTCTGTGTCCTCTGTGTCCGCTCTTACTGCCGCGGTTACTGACTTTGCCTCTACCCGCCGCCCTTGACTACGCCACCACGCTTGTGACTGCTCCTCCTACCAGTCCTCTAGTCGTCGGGGGTGTGTCTGTCCTTGGCTGTGACGCCCTAGAGGACAGGCAGTTTGAGCTAGAGTTCCTGGCGGCCGCTTCCCCTCATCTCTGTGCCATGCTCCTCGCCCCTGAGGGTGACCCCGACGCCCTTGACATTCCGACTCCTCGCACTTATGCTGAGGCAATGTCAGGGCCTTGGGCCTCTCAGTGGAGAGCTGCCATGGACGCAGAGATGGCCTCCTACAGATCCACAGGCACCTACGTCGATGAGGTTCCCCCCCCTGGGGCGAACGTAGTCGACGGCATGTGATCTACAGGGTGAAGCGGCCACCAGGATCTCCCACGGTCTTCAAGGCGCGCTACGTGGCTAGAGGTTTCAGTCAGCGCGAGGGAGTTGACTTCTTTCAGACCTTCGCACCTACCCCGAAGATGACCACTCTTCGGGTGTTACTACACGTAGCAGCACAGAGAGACTACGAGTTACACTCTCTCGACTTCTCCACTGCTTTCCTTCAGGGCAGCCTACACGAGGAGGTCCTGGTTGCGTCGTCCCTCGGCCTTCACTGGCACTTTCCCTCCTGGGACCCAGTGGAGGCTGAGGCGACATGTTTACGGTCTTCGCCAGGGCCCCTCGTGAGTGGCACGACACTCTGCGTTCTACCCTCTCTGACCTTGGGTTCCAGCCGTCTTCTCTGCCGACCCGTCGCTGTTCGTTCGTCGTGGCTCCACACCGTTCTTTGTTCTGGTCTACGTCGACGACCTCGTTTTCGCCACTCCGGACAGGGTTGCTTTGGCAGACGTGAAGTCCGAACTGCAGAAGAGACCACACGTGCACTGATCTTGGTGAGCTGCGCCACTACCTTGGCCTGCAGATCACCAGGGACAGAGCCGCTCGCACCATTACACTCTCACAGTCACACATGGTGCAGCAGGTCCTTCAGCGGTTCGGGCTTCAGCACTCCACCGTACAGCGCACACCTCTCGCTGTTGAACACAGACTCACTGGTCCCTTTCCTGACGAGCCGTTTGAGCCTAGTGGTCCCTACGCAGAGCTTGTGGGTTGCCTCATGTACCTGATGACTTGTACTCGCCCCGGACCTCGCCTTCCCTCTCAGCATCCTTGCGCGCTTTGTTGCGCCAGGGAGACATCGTCCTGTTCACGGGACGGCAGCTGTGAGGTGGCGAAGTACCTAGCGACTACATCAGGCGTGGGGCTAGTTCTTGGAGGGCAGCAGTCTGTCGTACTCACTGGTCACTGTGACTCCTCTTACGCTGACGACGCTGAGACTCACAGGTCTACTCAGGGGTACTGTTTCAGTCTGGGTTCTGGAGCTGTTTCCTGGCGTTCCACGCGCTCCTCTTCTGTCTCGACCTCTATAGCTGAGGCTGAGATTTACGCTGGTGCCATGGCGGCACAGGAGTTGCGGTGGTTGACCTTCTTGCTCGCCGACCTTGGTGAGCGGCCGAGCTCTGCACCGACCTTTGTTCACTGACAACAAGGCGTCGATCCTCCTCTGTCGTGAGCCGCGACTGGAGAGCAGAGTGAAGCACATTCACGTCAGGTACTTTCTCTCTGCGAGAGTTGCAGAGGCGTGGACAGGCTCGCTTCGAGTTTGTGGAGTCCGAGGCCAACACTGCAGACATCTTCACCAAGGCGCTTCCGCCTCGTGACCACCAGAGGTGTTGTGGTGCAGTTAGGCCTTGTTGACACAGGTTCTAGTCATGTGTAGGCTTGAGTTTATTGGCTGCTTCGTCTGTACTCTTGCTATATATACTTGTGATCTCTTGGACTGGCCTTGTGGCCACTGTTGCTTGTGCTCAGAGTGTGTGGTGACGTTGTGATCCACCCTGAGCTTTGTTTTCTTTTGGACTGGTCTTGTGACCGTACTCTTTTTATTTTGCTAGACACCCCTCACTTAGGCTATGGGGGTGTGTCAAATGTTGTAGCCTATAGTGAGGTTTGTCTTAGGGGGTACAGAAGTTAGGGTTTGTCATATGTACCCCAACCAACATCAATGGCATCATCCATTCCTCATTCTGACATAAACATGCATCTTGTCCATGTCTGTTATATTCCCAGGAGAAATCCGTTCGTAACAGGGTGCATGAGCATTCTACCGTGCCTTTCGAATTTGTCCCTGCTTTCGGAAGTATATACCAGACGGCGAAACAGTTTCGGTCAACATCTGCGTCATGCAAGTTAGATAAGTCCACTGTAACATTCTCGTTGCTCTTTGCAGATTTGAAGTGTCGGCCTGTTTGTTACCATTGTGCATGCTGCAATTATGGGTGTAATATGGTATTGTTCTTGTCCTGTTGAGCAAATGGTCACCGCTTGTTTGTCTTGGTTAAATCTAGACCATCTTGATTGTGAATGTTATAAATGTACGATATTGCATAAACCTACAATAAACATGCCAAACGTTTACTATTTTTTGCCACACAATGTCAGGACAGAATGTGACAAATTCTCTATGCGTGTTGCTTAATGTGATGCTGTTTTGTATACGGTAATATTGTATTCTGGATCGAGCAGGGTGTACTGTAGTAACATTCTTTGGTCCGTTACAAGTTTGCCTTGTATGAAATTCCCACGATCCGTGTAGTGAGTATGAGAACTGTTCTGTGTATGCTGAGGCACTCCTTGCTGAGCCTAACGAAAATTTCCAAGGCAATCCTTCCAATCAATCCTCAAACACTTCTCAGCTTGGTGAGCATTCCGCTAGATAGACCTCCAGCATTGGTGCTGGGGACAAACTAACAACAGTCCTTGGGCATGCAAAAGCAAGGATTTTCCCCCATTTTTTTTTGTGACGAAGTTAATCGCAATGTTGGGCAGCGAGTCGGGCTCGATCACGAGCGACAGACGCACGTTCGCCGCCTTCTTCTAAGGCGCGACACGGCGGCGTCTATGTAACTTGGCCTTATACTATAAGGCGGCTTGGCAGCAAGGGAGGATGATTTCAGGTATCAGAGGGACGTTCAGGATACCTTGCTGCGCGACACGGCGGCGTCGATGTACTTGGCCTTTATACTATAAGGCGGCCTCGACACGTACTACGTATAAGGCCACGTAGTACGTGTCGAGGTTTTGGAATATCCCCATGGAGCGCCACCAGCGCTACTAGTACTACCCGTGCCAATGTAGTCGAAAGGAAACGCGCAGCCACCATCGTTACCCTTGGTTGGTTGAAAGAATGAATCAGTTACGACGAACTCATGCGGGACCGTCCCTTTATCATTTAATGCTACCCGGGCCAAGCGGACCTGCTGTTCCACTACTACCGCATTAGAGGCAAGCTCAACGTGCGTCACTTCCGTCATCCTGCTGCGACCTACGTGCCGCCGATGATCAGGAACGTCTCGTGAGAGATAGCCAGCACAGCAATTCGAAGGTGACGTTGGTGCGTGGAGGCTCGTGGCGCGACATGAGTACAAATCTGCTAAGTATGTGGTGGGCATGTGAGGTCGAATGCTCTTTGACTTGAACGTAGAAGTGTACCGTGATGCACCGTTTATGAACGCTTTTCGTAATCCGTATTAACATCTGTTACCGGAAACATTTTTCTTGAACAGTTTGTTCAGAAAGCCATCTTGAGAATGTTGCGCTGGAGAATGTTGAACTGGGAATGTTGCGTTGGAGCCTCCCACAAGGGCACTGCTACTTATGCGGTGTCGTTCAGTTCAAACACGGTTACCGTTCTGGTCCGTGTATTGCGGCTGACGAGCCTCTGACAAAAAGGTGTCAGATTTGTCTCGAGTAACATGTATGGTGGCGAGAGTCATTTCGCAACAACTCGCAACACCATCACAATTCCCCACTTCTTCGCCCAGCTGTTGCGGGTGCCCTTTGAAACAAGCTCTGTGCGCAGAACACGAAGGATTCAATCCCCGAAATCAGCTGCTAAGTTTCGCAAACCATCGCAAGCATCCTTATTACAGGCGTTGCAGCAGCGTACCCAAAATGACATCATCGGTAAATAATTCATGGCGTCCTCGTCCCATAATAATTATAGATTATCGTTCATGCAATCTCTAATCGTGGACTAAGTGTGATTCATACAGTTTCATCCGTCTCGTCATGTCAGGCCCATGCCCTAACGATTTAGCTTGAAAACTGCCACCCATTTACTCGTCAATTCCAAACAAGCTTCGTTACCGCCCTTGTTACCCGCCTGGTTCGATCATGAAGCACTCTCTTGTCGCCTCGACCGACCGTAACGGAAATTCCGTCGTAGGATCGAGCCCCGAGGCGCTGCGCGCCGAGCTCGCGGGATGGCTGCAGGATCGGATCGTGGCAGGCGGAGTCGCAATTCCGCAGCGGGCTGTCCGTCGCGCCATGGCTATTCGCATGACAAGACGGGGAGCGCCACGGCGCGGGGGACAAACAGGGTTACCGGCGCTACCAACGCTACTAGCAGCGTTACTGCTGGCAGCGGCGGCGGTAGCAGGAGGAAGGTGGAGGGTTGGCGGGAGCAGCAGCAGGCGCTGCACCGCATTGTCGATTTTTTGGAGACGAGCCGTGCATCTGTACGGCAGCTACAAGGTGATTATAACGAGGCAGCAACAAGGTGATTATAACGAGCCGTGTGAGTTGTGCAGGCCAAGGCAGTTTCCTATGCAGTAGACAAGAAAGTCCATTCCTTCCACAGTGCTCGTTCCGTGGACTCTCAATAGTAGTTTCCTAGGTCCGCACGCGCACGCGTTTTCCGCCTGCTTCCACATTTCCTCACTTCCACTCCCCCACTCCGATACCCATGTGAGCGCCATCAGCTGTGCCGGGTGCGCGTGCGCCTAGGCAGGCTTTCGAGTCGACTCAGAAGTCAGCTGCGTGGTTCTATCTTTCTTTCCCCCCGCCCCCCATCCCCATACGAGCCCCATCAGCTGTGCCAGCTGCGCGTGCGCGTAGCAGGCTGAGTGAGGAGCAGCGGCGGGCGGCGTGGGAGGAGCAGCACGAGCGGGTGCGGAGATACTTCACTCGCTCTGCACCGAAATGCAGGGCTTCTTCCTCAAGGTACCGCCGCCGCTGCGACAATTAGGAGACTTTTGAGACGTCTCAAAAGGCGACAGTTAGGAGCGTGTCCTTCAGTCACCTCCCACAACCGCAAGCAGCGATTCTTCCTCAAGGTACGGCTGCAGCAATGATGACTCAAAAGTAACCGCGGCGGGCGCGGAGATACAGCACCCCGCTCTGCACCGAGCCAACAGGCAGGGCAGTTCCTAGCCAAGCCACACATGTCCTTTCTGCATATAGAGATGCCATCTCCACTCTTCATTCATCCCCATCCCCATCCCCATCCCTCCTTTCTCCACCTGGCTGGGTAGTTCCTAGCCAAGCCACACATGTTCCTAAACCCTGAGCCCCCAACCATAAACTCCCCTCTCACCCTCCTCCTCCTTCCCCCACCAGGCAGGGCAGTTCCTAGCCAAGCCAGACATGTCCCCCCCAGCCTGGGTGCGTCGTCTCGCCCCTCTCCACGACAGTGCGCCCGCAGACCCCTTCCCTCTCGTCCGACGCACCGTCGAGGCTGAGCTGGCACGTGCTGACGTGGCAGGGAGTGACGTGGCAAAGCGCTGCTGACGTGGCACGGGTGCGGCTGGGAAGACCGTGTTTGCGGAGTTTGAGGAAGAGCCCGTTGGGTCTGCGTCCATTGCCCAGGTCAGTGTGCGAGGATGGTGGGTGGGGGAAGGATGGTGGGTGGGGTAAGAATTGAAGGGGGAGGATGAGTTGGGGAAGGGTGAGGGGGGAAGGGAAGGGAAAGGAGCAGAATGCCTTGTGGTATGATTGTGACTAAGTGCTTGTTGCAATCAACGCTGCCCATGGTCTGCCCATTTTTTTCCGTCTTCTACTCAATCCTCAGTCTTCTTTGTCATTCCCTCCCCTGCACCGTGCCTCTGTGTGTGTGTGTGTGTGTGTGATGGGGCGGGATTGCAAGCAGGTGCACATGGGCAGGTTGAAGGATGGGCGCCGTGTTGCGATCAAGGTAAGCAAGCAGCACATGTGCAGGGGGCAACCGTGCGCATGACTGTGCTTGTATGCAGGCAGGCAGGGCCTATGCATGATGGGGTGGTATGCGTTGTGTGATAAGATAGGCATGCTTGCGTCCTCACTCTCTTTCTCCACCCTCTTATCCGCACACCACAGGTGACTCTTGAGACGTCTCAAAAGAGACCACAGGTGCAGCGCGCGGGAGCAGAGCACCTGATTCTCATGGGCGCGCGAGCACAAGCTCTCTGCTACGCCCAGTCCTCTCATCGCTCACACACCTATTTGCCCCTCAGTTCCCTCCTCTCTCCTCGCCCTCTGCGTTCCCCTTCATTCTCACACCACAGGTGCAGCGCGCGGGGGCAGAGCGGCTGATGCTCATGGACCTGGCAAATCTGCGTCTCTACCACGCCCACTGCTCTCACCACTCTTATGAACCTAGATGTGCCTCATCGCTCACGTCTCTCCTCTCCTCAACCCCCCTTCACTTCCACCCCGCCCCACAGGTGCAGCGCGCGGGAGCAGAGCGGTTGATGCTGATGGATCTGGCAAATCTGCGTCTCTTTGGCGCCTTCCTGCAGCGCGCCGAGCTCAAAGTGGACCTGCTGGGTCCCATTTCTGAGCTGGAGCAGCAGGTGCGTGCATGGTGCATGGTGCATGGTGCATGGTGCATGGTGCATTGTCACCCCATTAGTAGTGTGCTGCTCTCTCTCGCCCCGTGCATGGTGCATGGTACGAGTTTGATTTTGAGCGCGAGGCAGCAGCCATGAACTTCCCGGACAGCTCAAATATCGGAAACGGCTCAACGGCACTACTGGCCGATACGAACGGGTATGTGCTGCCCTCGTTCTTATCCTGTGTCCCTCCTCCCTCGTCCCTGTGTTGCAGATCCGGTACGAGTTTGACTTCGAGCACGAGGCAGCAGCCATGGAGCGCATCAGACACGCCCTGGCACAGCGGGACGGGGGCGAGACGGCAGGGGGTAGGTGGGAGAGGCATGGGGGGATGCGGAGCAGCAGGCGCACAGGCAGACATGGTGTGGGTCGTGGAGGGATTAGCAGGGCGAATAGGGTGGAGAGGGTGGAGAGGGTGGAGACGTTGGGGAGGGTGGAGCATGCGGGGAAGAAGGCAAGGCCTGAGGATCGACAAGGGGCACATGTCATTGTGCAAGGCGGGGCTGAAGGTGGTGGGCGGAGTGCGGAGATGGACACACGGGCGTCACCTGTCATTGTGCCAGCAGCCATACCAGGCCTTGTCACCAGGTAATGCTGTTGCTGCTGCTATCACCAGGTGCCACTACTGCTGCCGTTGCCAGGTGCCACTTGTGCTTCTGTGGCCCCATTCAGCAGATAGAGATGCTGTGCTGTTTATGACGTCTGCTAGACATTCAAGTGGCCTTCTGCCTTTCTTCCTCCGCTGCTCCCCCCTTTCTTCTATCAGTCCTCCTCACTTCAATAACGCCTTGCTCCTCACAAGTAGTCTCCTGTCTTGCCCACTTGTGGCTCACTGTGTCAATCCCAGGCGCCTACTGGTGATGACTTTATATACGGCACGTCCATTCTGAGTCCATTCTTCATTTGAGGCATTCTTGCTTGCCCCTCTTTCCTCCACCTGCCTTTTCGTGGCTCTCCCAGGGGCCTATTGGTGATGGACTTCATAGACGGCACGCCCATCCTGAGACTGCCTGAGGAGATGCGCAAGCGAGGCATCAGCCCCAGTGGCGCACTGGCAAGGCAGACCAAGAGGTGCGGTGGGATGGGGTTGGGCGGGATTGGGTGGGGTACTCGCGTTTGTGTACACCTTGCTGAGGACACGCCCGTTCTGAGACTTCTGGCAAGGCATCAGCCCCAGTGTTGCACTGGCCAAAGAGACCAAGAGGTGCGGTGGGTTGGGTGGGATGGGGTCAGGCGGGGCTGGGTGGGGTACTCGTGTTTGCATACCCCTTGCCTCTCCTTAGGTTCACATGATGTGCCATGGCCACTCTCATTGCCTGCCCTTGTTCGCCCCTGCCTGCCACGTCCAACTCTAAGCTCCCTCCTCCCTGCCTCCAATCCTCACCGTCGTCCCACTCTACCACTCCCCCTCTGTCCCGTGCCCCGCTCCCTCCCAGTCGCATCTTCTAAGCACTACCAGCAGCGTGCGGGCGTACGCGGCTGGACTACAGGCAGTCCAAGGTGACTTTTGAGTCGACTCAAAAGTCGGCCGTACACGGCTGGACTACAGGCAGTCCAAGCAGCTGCCAGAGATCCATCCTCCTCCTCACGTACAGGGAGTACAGGGCCCCTCCTCCCCTCCTCCCGTACAGGGCCGCTCCTCCCCTCCTCACAATCCATCCTCACCCTCTCCCTTTTCCTCATACACAAACTCCTTCCCCTTGCAGTCGCATATTCTCAGCGCTATCAACAGCATATGGCTGCATGCTGCTGCAGCACGGGCACTTCCAGGCGGACCCCCATCCGGGCAACATTCTCGTGTGCGCGGTGGGCAGGGTGGCTCTGTTAGATTATGGGCAGACCAAGCAGCTGCATGAGGCGCTCTGGCTCAATCTAGCGCGCTCCTCCCCACCCTCCCATCGTCACAATCTTAACCTCCTGCCCTTTCCCCTCCCCCCACGTTGCAGTCGCATATTCTCAGCGCTATCCACGGCGTATGGCCGCATGCTGCTGCAGCACGGCCACTTTCACGCAGACCCCCATCCAGGAAATATCCTCGTCTATGTGCGCGGGCGGCAGGTGGCTCTGTTAGATTATGGGCAGACCAAGCAGCTTCCCGAAGCGTTGAGGCTCAATCTGGCTCGCTTGGTGGTGGCAATAGCCGATGAGGACATGCTGGCTGTGGGTTCGTGCTTCACGG